TACCTTTACTTCTTAGAAAAATAAAAATGAATAATTGCAGTTGGGTCCTCCATAAGGGTACCAGCAAGTAGCCTGTAACTGTAAGGGTTGGAAGGGAAAAAAAAAAAAAGCATTAAGGGTCAAACCGTCCAACACCTTTAAGCCTATATTTGGATAAAAATTAGTAAAGAAAAGGAAGGGGGAACTGGGGAAGGAAGGGAAGTAGAAGGGAAAGAAAGGATAATGTTCATATTAGTTTTGTTTAAAAAAAAAAAGTAAAAGAGAGAAAATAATAATATTTTTATTTAATTAAATAATTTCATAAAAAATAAAATAAAAAAGAGTAAAATCTTTAAAATTTATTAATTAATTAATTAGTTGAAATAAAATATTTATATATGTTTATTTTTAAAAAAAATTAAAATAAAAATAAGTTAAATAATGTAATTCATCCTAATCATTCCAAATCAAAGGAATTGAAAACAGAAAAGGAGAGGGGATTCTATCTCTCTCCATCTCCATTTCCTCCATTAAAATAATTTACCCAAACAAGAGAAGGTGCTTTCTCCTCTGCACTCTGCACTCTGCACTCCACTTCTTCCCCTCTAACATCCTCGATTCAAACAAAGTGTAAATGTCGGGGTTAAAATGATACTTTCCAATAAAGGGTCTGCTGTTGGTGCTTGGGGTTAAAATTAAGAGCACATAGTTTTACAATTTAAATATTTTTTAAATTATAAATTAAAAATCTTTAAATGGGATATGAAAGGCTTTTTTAACTAAAATTTAATATTTTATGATTTAAAAATTTAAAACAGTATAAACTATAAGGGAAAAAAAATTAAAATATCATGTCAAATAATAATTATATGATAAATTTAAGGTTAAATATCCTTTTTGGTCCCTCTACTATAGGAAAAAGCTCCTTTTTGATCCCTGTACCGAAAAAATCTCCTTTTTGATCCTTACTATTTACAAATCTGGCCCCTTTTTGGTCTCTCCGTTAATTTTTGCTCACATGGCACGTTAACTTAACTGAAACAACTGATGTGGGTATGTCAACGTGTAAAATATGCTTACGTGGATTTAATGATACCTTCCACGTCTCCCTCCACGTCACTCCCCCAGCACGGAAAAAGAGAAAATTACCAATTTATCCCCATCTTTTTCCTTTGGGCTTTTTTTTTCTTTTTTCTTTTTTTTACCTCTAGGCAAACCCAGCTCCAATCCAGGTCGCGAACCCAAGTGCGACTTGGATTAATTGTTCATGGGTTCGTGAAGAACCCAGGCTTGGGTGGATTCATCTTGGGTTCTTGACGAACCCAGGTGCGCACTGGGTTCTTCGCGAACCCAGGACCAACCCAGCTCATGCCTGGGTTCTCGACGAACCCAGTGCGACTTGGGTGGGTTTGTCCTGGGTTCACGACGAACCCAGGTGGGCTTGGGTTCCTGTCTACAATGCTTTGGAGAAGTGCCTGTAGCGCCTGCTTGGGTTCATTGTGAACCCAGGACGAACCCACCCAGGTTGTGCTGGGTTCGTCGGGAACCCAAGCACGAGCTGGGTTGGTCTTGGGTTCGCTAAGAACCCAGCACACACCTGGGTTCATCAATAGAAAATAAAAGTAGAATTTGACTCCTAATCAACTCAAAACACTCTCCAAATTCCATCTCCATATACTTCTAGCAATTCTACAGCAAATCAACCAAAACCGAGCACGATTTCATAACACATTCAAAGAAAACACAATCTAAACTACAGAATGCGTTTCAATCGAAAGAAAGAAGGTAAAGAACTAAAGGAAAACATAAAGAAAGTGGCGGTGAGTCCTCGGTTCTGACAAAATAAACAAGTTGGCAAACAGAAACCGAACGAAGATCCCAGAGTTCGATCAAGAAGAAGAAGAAGAATACAGGGCTCCTTGCGAGTTTCGCGAACCCAGCAACCGGGTTCTGCGAGGAACCCAGATTTGGGTTTCGTGAACCCAGGTCTTGGGTTCCTCATGGAACCCCCTTGTTGGGTTCGCGGAGGAAGAAGGCTAGGAATGGGTTCACGGAGGAAGAAGGTTAGGAAAGAGGAAGGGGCAGAGGGATAAGAGAGAAGAAGGGAGGAAGAAGAAAAAAGAATAATATAATAATAATAAATTATGTTGGTTTTTATTTAAATATGAAAAAAAATGCCACATAAAAAAAAACCATCTCATCAAGTTTGTTTTAACATAATTATAATTTAAATAACAACTTATAAAGTCACATAATTTATTATTATATTATATAGATAAATAAAACCTATAATTAATAAAAAAATGAAAAACATAATTTAAAGACCAAAAAAATGTAAACCTATAAAGTTGAGGGACTAAATTTAGTATTTAACCTTTTTTTTCTTTTTTTAAGGCAGGGGAGGGTAACGTGGAGGATGTTATAAGTCCACGTAAGTATATTTTACACGTTGGCATACCCACGTCAGCTGTTCCAATTAAGTTAACGTGTAACGTGAGCAAAAATTAACGAAGGGACCAAAAAGGAATCGAATTTGTGAACAGTAAAGATCAAAAAGGGGATTTTTTCGGTACAGAGATCAAAAATGGGTTTTTTTCTATAGTAGAGGGACCAAAAAGGATATTTAACCTAAATTTAATAAAATTAAAATTTACATTATATTTTATACATTTAATAATTGTAATTTGAGATTTTAACATTAAAATGTCATTGATTTTCTCTTTTCTCCAACTATAAAACTTTCTTTTTTTCTAAAATTAAATTGATACATTTACTCATATCAAAAGTCCAGCAAGCAATCTGTCCCAAGTGGATCCTATTCAGATGATCAGGATCGTCGACTACGTGGATTGATCAAAGTTTAAAAAGTCATGATGACCAACCAATGGGAAGATAGAAGTATCATGGTAGTAGATACTTGATATCAAGATAAGGGGTAAGGCTGTCTGCAGCAAGCAATATCGTCTTCCGACAACAAAGAAAGCCATCTTCTTTACTCTTAAAAATCTTTCCAAATGTTAAGTGCGAGTATAACTGTTGTTGGTGCGCCCATCGCCACCCGTTATGGCGGTGCCGCCGCCGTCAAAGCATTCGCCTTTCCCACCGTCAGTACAAGGCAGTGTTCGCAGTTAACACCATTGCAACTGTCAACAAGTAGCAGCCGTGGTTACGGGTGCTCTTTCTCCTCCTTTAAGACTGCTGTTGCCGCTGTTGATTCCGACCAGCTGACTCCCGACAAGGTTTAATTTTTCTCTTGCTTCTTTACTGTACTCCATAGATAGACAAGTTATGAATTATTTAGGAATCAGCATACACCCAGCTGTTTGAATTTAGTTAAATGCATCAAAATGGATTTTCCAGTTAATGTGTCACCTGCATCAGCTGTTAAATCTGACTTCATTACAGGATAGAAGTAATTGAATCTGTGATCTTCAAGCATAAAAATCGAAGGAAAATAACTTAAACTGTATAAAACATCTAAATGTGGCTTGTTTTGATATATATATTTGTGTGGGAATTTTGCATTGTGATACAGCAACAAGCGAACAAGTATTACTTTGTTGTTGCAAATGCAAAGTTCATGTTGGATGAAGAGGAGCACTTCCAAGAGCTCTTGTTTGAGCGCATTCGTAACTATGGAGAACGCAACAAAGACCAGGATTTCTGGCTTGTGGTTGAGCCCAAGTTCTTGGATAAATTCCCCAACATTACCCAGAGGTTAAGGAGACCAGCTGTTGCCCTTGTTTCTACTAATCGTCCCTGGATCACGTAAGACTCAACTCCAAAGTCTTTATTTTTTTCACTTGCTTTATATCAAACAAGCTTAATTAGTTGTATTCTCTGCTCCACTAGTTTGGTTGGGTTGGCACAAGCTTTGCCATTCTAATGAGGAAAAGTATTTAGAAAGCAAATGAAGATTATGGACGAGGCAATAGCAAGACAATGTTTGGGGTGGGATTCGGTATTACATTGAATTTAAAATTCTTTGAATTGAGTTCCTACTGTTCTGTTCTCCTTTATTCTGTTTGTTTTGTTGGTTCTCAGTCATTTACCTAGAAAAGGGTTTTCGAATTTTGTTAGTGATTTGAATGGAAGAAAACCTTCCTTTAGCACCATGCAACCATGAGTAAGGCTGCTATCTATGCTCATTTTCAGGTTGACTCTGTACAAGTTTCATAAGACATTGGTACAGATGTATATAATAGGACTGCAAGGAAAGACTTTATTATTATTATTATTTTTTCTTGAGCATCTACTGTATGGAATGTGGAATAAAAACATTAATTATCTTGCACTAATATCTTCTCTGTTAAATGTGTGTGTGGCCGTGCATTCAGGTTCATGAAATTAAGATTGGATCGAGTGTTATCAGAAAGCTTTGAAGCTGACAGTCTAGAAGAAGCTTTAGCCTCCAACCCTACCACTCTGGAGTTTGAGAAGCCAGAAAACTGGGTTGCACCCTATCCAAAGTATGAGTACGGATGGTGGGAGCCCTTCTTGCCATCTGGATCTAAAGAATCCAAAGTATAGTATGCTAACCTCCCTCCTTTTTGTATGTGCATGCATGTGTCTGTACTTGATTTATTCTCCCAGATGATGAGGAATCATAGACTCACAGTCATATTTTGCAAACTGGAAATCTAATTTAATTAGTCAGTCTGCATAGAGCTTGAGTTATACAATAGTTCAAGGTTACCATGAGTGTTTGTTCTTGTGAAACTGAGACCTAGACTAGTACTTGAGTTCTACATAGAGTTGCTAAATCCAAACCTGTTTGTGAAAAATATATCAACGATATCTAAGATGAGAGGCTCATACTGAATGCATGCTCTCATTCAACTCTGTGCCTAGTGCAGTTACTACCCCATTAACTAGGAAAGAAAAAGCATGGTGTACCTAATTGCTTACAAGATAAGACACCAAGAGTCAAGATTACTCTAATGCAATTGAGTGAATGATTATTCAGTCTGGTCCAAGTAACCTGGGCGTTTTAATGTTCAAAAGAAGCAACTTTACATCCTCATAAACCAGTGTCAAAATAAGAATATGTAAACAAGAGCAGTTTAATTGTAGGAAACATATAGACTGAGCAAAAATGGCAGACTCACGTCTAAGCTGTACTAACTAGCATATTTGGCTTTATTATGAATTATGATACTGCTGAGCTGCTTATTGTGAAGAAGAGAGTTTGGGATTTTCTGGAGAACCTCTTCATCCTGAACTGCATACTGCTTCTTTGGTTTCAACCAAACCCTTCCCTGCATTATCCTACTTCTTCTCATACAACAGCATTGGCACTGTCAGCATTATCTCAAATGCTGCCGGACCAACGGAATCCAAGTGTTATTTTTGCAACTAGCTAATTTACTTAATTAAGTAGACTTAAACCTGAACAGTTGTCAGTATATATTACCATATAAACACAACTAACAAAGTAGAAACAAACCATAGGAAAGGAGGGTCAGAAAACTGGACCAGCTCCCAACAACAGAGACAACGCAACCACCTAGAGGAGAGCCAAATGAGATGTTTATATTAGTGTTTCAAGACAGGCAAAAGTGAGAAATTTCTTCAAATCATTCCCAGAAAATGTTGTTGATGGTGCCATAAGAGCAATTGTGACAAATAGTTGTTGAGGAAAATGTGGATGCATATCATACTGTTAATCTACCAAAAATTGCATCTTCTTCATCCAGTTATTTTTATTTTCAAGTCGAAAGTTTCAAAGGCACAGCTAGAGTGTTGTTCCACAATTCATCAAAGTTTTGGGCAATACAAGATGGATTGTACAGTACAGATGCATGCTTTTGCTTTGTGGTCAGAAGTCAAAACTCCCCAGCATTATTTCTGGATGTGGGTGCATCACCCTGTTTTTTTGGTTTCAACCATATGGGATTTTTATAAAATAAAAGTATGCAACTAACCAACAATCACATTCGCCCAATTTCTTTCCCCCTTTGTGGGTATGTGTGTGTGTGGTGGTGGCTTATTGTCAATGCTAATAATTAAAATTATGTTGATAATGATAATTGGATTATAAACAAACACTTAATAATTCAATGGGTTTTCCTATCTTGTGCTCCAAAGGTGCAAGATAAAGATGTATTTATTGTACTCTTTTATCATTAATTATGTATAAAATTACATTAAAAAATAAAAAAAATTAACATTAATTTTAACATCTATGATACAAGAATATTTTTATTAAATAATTAATAAAATTAATATTAACTTTTAATTTTTTTATGTGTATTAATGATAAAAATATATAATAAATAAACCTTTATTTTATACTCTTATGACGCAAAGTAGAAAAACTCTAATTCAATTACCCTTATTCGATTTTTTAGATTCTTCTCAAAAAAAAGAATAAAAAAAAGGGAAAAGACAAGATTTGCAGTGAGCGTGCCGGCAAGTTGCCGACGTCATTTATTTTGGGCCATCGTATGGTTCAAACCTCAAACGATGATTAATGATTTCCCTTATCCGGTCCAGTAATTTGAGCCGAGATGGCCCAGAAATGTTTAATGGATAGGCCCGCATAATAATAATGCAAAAAGATAGGGCCAACACGGCGCCCATGCTCTTAATGCCACATGGCTAACAGCACTTAATTCCATTCGACTCTTTCAGTTTTTACGCACACAGATAAACATTGGTATTCTATCAACAATTTAAATAATTTAATAATTATTTATTTTATTAAAAATAAAAAATTTTAAGTTTAAGTCGTATGATATATGAGTGGGATGAGATAAGGGATGAAAAATGAGTATCTCCTATTATACAACTAAAATAAAAAATAAAAATTTTGTTATTCAACTAAAACTCTCATGCATGTCACCACTAAATTTCCTATATTTAGCAACATGAAAACATATTGCTGAAAGTGGTTCTCATGTTGCTGAAACTTCTTAGCAACATAACTCTAGTTGTTAAAAGCTTTATTGGAAAGGTTTTGGTGGGTGATACATTACCAACAAGAGTGCTGGTAATGTATCAGCAACATAAGGCACATTGCTGAAAATATAGTTTTAGTAACGTGTCTTATGTTGCTAAAAATTTTGCCAAATTTTGGTGAAGATTTTGGTTCAGCAACATGACTTTTGTTGCTAAAAGTTTGAGGAGAGGTGTGGTCCCTTATTTTTCAACAACATATACCTTGTTGCTAATTGCATGGTTTAACCAACATGGTTCAAGTTGGTAAAGCCATGTTTTCACAAACTTATTAATTACTATATATAATTATTTATAAATTTATTAAGCTTCAAATAAATTAATACCTACTTAATAATGTAATATTCACAACAAAAAAAATTTCATACAATATGCTTCAAGGAATTAAAGTAATTGATGAAATTTATTCAATTATATATTCATTTACACATTTAATGATAATAAAGAACAAGTAATGATGAAAATGGCATGGCTGATTAGATCTACATATATATATATATATATGGAAGACCTGTGCTAAAAGAAGAAAAAAAAAGAAGACGCTGAGAGAGATTTGAGGAGGAGATCTAGCTTGAGGTGTGTAGATCAGATGATGGTGCAACAAGAGATCTAGGGAGAAGATCTAGATCAGATGATGTTGCATGCAACAGGCCGCGTGAGAAGAGAGGAGGGCATGAGAGGATGTGCCGGAGAGCTGTAGAAACACATGCATGGATCAAAGATGGTTGAGAGGGCTAAGGAGGAGAGGCACACGCACAGTTCAAATGATGGTGTAGCAAGCTGCACGTGTTAGGAGAAAACTAAGGAAGGCATGAGATCTGCAAAAAGGCATGGAGATGGCTGAGAGGGGGTAGTTGGTATATAAGGAACTTTCAGCAATATAGAATTATGTTGATAAAAGTTTATCACCTTATAAACAACATATTCCATGTTGGTAAACCCTATTTGAATTTCAACTCCATTACTTATCACCAACATATACCATGTTGCTAAAACTTTAAATCATTACTACTCCTGCCAACGACACTACTAAATGAAAAAAAATGATTATATTTTAATTAATTGTTAATCTTTAAAAAATATAATTTATATCTAAAATATAATTTATTAGTTGGTTTTGTTTAATCTATTAAATTTTATTTAACACTTTTCAAATTAATACATATATATAATTACATTATATATTAACATTTTGAAATAATTAAAACTCTATTTTAAAAAATGTGGACATGCATATGAAGTTACATAGACATTTCACATAAAAGTATCCTAATATTTAATTTGCCAATATATGACTTTTTAAAACTAATAGTCGACTCTTTTTAACCAAGAGTCGACTCTCAATAAGTAGAGTCGACTATACCCAGCAACCCCAAGGTTCTCAATTCTTTGGAATTTGGGAGTCGAATGTTGACTCTCTATAGTCAACTCTTTAAGGCTTTACAGTCGACTTTCTATACTTAGATTCGACTCTTTGCTACCCAAGAATCGATTCTTTATATATACAATCGACTCAGACCTGGAGCAGGATGTTTCTAATTGTATGGAATTTGGGAGTCAAATTTTGAAATCCTATAATTGACTCTTTAATGCTTTAGAATCGAAGCTGGATTTGTAAATTCGACTCTTTACTGCTTAAGAGTCGACTCTTTATATAAAGAGTCGAATCTTTCCTAAGTAGGGTTTTCATCCTCCTCGTATTTCAGAAGTTGAATCTTTACCCTCTATAGGTGACTCTTGATAAAAAAGAGTCGAATATATGCTTTGAGAGTTAACTCTTTATTGGATGTAGTGCCAACTTTACTGGCCAAACACAACAATTTTCTTAGCATCCAAACACAAAGTGAAACAAATTTTTCTTACTCCATTTCATATTAAAAAGAGTTCAAGTAAAATTTACATATAAAAAAAATTGAAATGAAAATTCACAATTCCTGATATCTAGATTATTCAAAGCCAAATCTAACTTCCCATGAATCCATATTTCCAACTCAATTTTCTCTTCATTTCAAATTCTAAATAACACAATTACAAATCTAAAACTACTATAGTTCACATATTCCTGGCAATGCATTCGAGCATTCAAGAACAACATGTAAGATGGAGGAAAGGGGTTGGTTTGAGGAAGAAAAGAAGGAAAGCTTCATGAACACAAACTCAGATCTAGGTTCGTGAACCCAGATTAGGATTCATTAACACAAACTCATATCTGGGTTCATTAAGGCAAACTCATATCTAGGTTCATTAACACAAACTCATATCTAGGTTCATTAACAGAAACGCAGATCTAGGGTCGTGAACCCATTTCTAGGTTCAAGAACTCAGATTTAGGTGCATGACCATGAGCCCATACAAAATAGATGAGAGGGGAGAGTAGAAAAAAGATCTAGGTATCAACAACAAGGAGCATGTTACTGAAAGTTTTGGCCACTCATCCCACTGGAGAGTTACATCAAAATTTCAGCAACATGGTCCTTGTTACTGATATTAACTTTCAACAACATGCCCTTTATTGCTGAAAGTAAATCTCACTTTTTTGGGGGTTTAGGTGCTATAGAGGTATCAGCAACAAAGAGCATATTGCTAAAAGTCACTTTCAACAACATGCTCCTTGTTGCTGAAAGTTTAGGCTACTCACCCATATCAGAGAATTACATCAAAATTTCAATAACATTGGCCTTGTTGCTAAAATTCACTATTAGCAACAAGAGGCATGTTGCTGAAAGTTGAGTTGATTTTTTGGAAAATTGGCTATTCTATAAGTATCAGCAACATGGACCTTGTTGTTGTTGGTGAAAATCTATATCATCAACAAGCAATTCGTTGATTGCTAAAAAGAGGGATTTAAGCAATGTGTGTAATACTAATTATTAGTATGATGGAGTATAATAAGTACACTCCATTAAAATATTCTTTTTGTTTATTTTTAGTGGATTTAATTTAATTTTTTGATTTTTTAAATATGAATTTTGAATAAAAATTTATTGAGCTATATGAACAACAATTAAATTTTTTTTGTCCCAATATATAGTTTTTCTTATGTATTTTTATTTAATAAAAAAATTTAATTGTTATTTATATAAATTATTAAAATTTTATTTAAAATTTATGTTTTTATGTAAGCATATACCAACAGCTGCACTTTTATCATGATACAATTTGTGATTATGTGTCGGACACATACAAAGCAATGGTATGCAATCTCTTTGTTCCGATGAGAGAACCAAGATGGATATGTTGGCTCAAGATGCATATGTTGGTATCCACCAGATCCACCTGTTTACAAACTAAATACAGATGGTTCTTGAATATAAGAGATTGGATTTGCAAGTGCAGGAGAGGTGTTACGAGACCAGTTAGGTGTTCTTATTCGGTAAATATTGGATTAGTTTCCTTTTTTTTAACTGAATTATGGGGCTGTAGAGAAGGGCTGATCTTATGCAAGGATAGGGGTCTTAAGCACATATACAGTTGTGGAAATGGACTCCTTGTCTATAGTACAGGTTATAAATGGATTGAAGGAACAAAATAGTCTTTCAGCAGTTCTTGTGTCTGAAATCAGAAGGCTTAGATTTGAGTTTGATTTCATTATTATTCAACACACACCTCGTGAAGCTAATTCGATCGGCAGCAAACTTTTTGGTTGGAATTGGGCATAGTTTGCCAATTGGAAACAACTGTTTCTGATTCTCCTCCACCTGGACTGAATGCCTTTCCAAAAAGGGACATGTTAGGTGTTGCATTTTTGTGACATTGATTAGTTAATTTTTTTTTTCATATGTAAAAAAAAAAAGAAAAAGAAAGTATTAAATTTAAATTTTATGTCATTTGATATGAGTGGGTTGATTTCAGAGATAAAAGAAAGCGAAAATTTTACCAATTCAAATGCTGTTAATTTTTTTAGAAAAACATACTCTTTGTATTTAATTTCCTAAGAAAGCAAATGAAGAAATAAATCTCGATCTCTCGGATCTGTAACGTTTGATCGGTCTTCCGGAGTCATGCCTTCATCTCCTCTACCTCGGCCGTTGTTAAACCCGCAATTTCTTTGAGCGGCTTCCACACGAATTTCCTCCTGTATCAGTATTATTATTATTATCTCATCATCATTATGTCTAAACCAGGGGAGTTCTTCCATTAAAAAAAAAAAGAAAAGGGGGGCAATTACCAGTTTCCACATTCTGCAATGACCCTGACTTTAGAGCGGAGGGAAGGCAGCAAAGCAAGAAATTGTAACTCTGACTTGGACAAAACCTTAGCTTCGATTATCCACACCACAAGCCCTTTGGCGTCCGGTGGCAGCGCCTCCAGCCTGTAGTCAACTTCCGGCGGAAAGTACCACCTTGCTATTGGTTGCTTCCCTAAATGCGCCTGTAATTATATATAAATTCTATATCACTATATATGTTAATTTGGTGTATATCCGTAAAAGAAAAAATTGAAACCAATTCGCTCTCGTGTACTTACTGGGCAAACAGGGTGGATCTTAGTGAGGGTGGTCTCGGGATCACCAAGGCCGCGAGCTGTAAGGTCGAGGAAGTAGTAGCCCTGGTACCGGAGGCGGTTCAGGTATCGACCCTCGTAGCCTCCCTCGTGCGGGCTGTAAATGGCCAGGGCTTTGTGCTCTTCCACGTCCGACAGCCACCGCCCCAGATCAAACTTGAGCAGATCCCCTCCTATGAAGTCCCCTATTCCTCTTCCACTGCACCTCACCCTCACCCCCACCACACTTGGTCTTTGAT